GGGATTTACCAAGTGGGTGCATTTACGTAAAACGTAGAATTGACCGGATGAGATTTCTACTCATGGTTGACGACCGGGAAATCTTCTACCATTCCATGTGGCTTTTCTTCACTGAGAATAAGGTGGGTAATTTTGGATGGGGGTTCACTAAATATAGTCTGGCCATGGATTCAAAGTGAGCAAGGTTTAGTATAAAACTGTAAAATTGAGTTTCAAAACTGTGGGATGGAGTAGCAGATAACTCCTTGTGGGCCTGTGCTGTTAAAACTGTTCATATCAGTGGGGCTGCTGAGAACTGGGATTTGTTTTGTTAGAAGTGAAAATGGCAGTATGATTACTAGTCTTGTCCATCGAAGACTTCTGAGTTTTCTTCTGTGTGTGATTATTTCGTAGTATCTTTCATATCTCAGTAAAACCCTAATTACCATTCTACTAAATTTACAATCGCATTGAATTCTTATTCGTTTTTAAACTGCCATTTATTGCATCTTTGATATTATGGATTTCAGAGATTTCTCTTGGTCTAACTGAACTTTGTTGCCTTTTCGTTCATCAATAGGTCAGCAATTCAGAAGTGTCCAATTCTTGAATTGTGGAGCAAATCACCATTGAAATCTTCGCATAATTCACTGAGTGTTTTGATTTTTTATTGGAGGTGGTTCTGGTTTAGCTTCTTTGGCGTTCTCTGGGTCTGTTTATTTTTGCTCTTGCTTACCTCTGTGGCCTGACGCATCTGCTTCCCATAATTTAGCCCACCATCAAAGAAGCTGTTACTGGTAACCCACTATTGAAATAATTTAGATCCAAGTCCAAGAACAATTCTGGACAGTTGATAGTTTCAGACCAGGTGTAGCATAAATCAACAGGAGCAGTTTGCTAGATTACTTTTTTCTCTTCTTCCAGTGGGCTATATTTTGGATAGTTGAGTCAAACAAGACTACATAGATGACCGTGGATGAAGCAGGTAGTAGCTCCTTGTGGAGTCGAGAGCAGGATAAGGCATTTGAGAATGCTCTCGCAACTTATCCTGAGGATTCTTCAGATCGGTGGGAAAAAATTGCAGCTGATGTACCAGGGAAAACCATAGAGGAAATAAAACATCATTATGAACTCTTAGTTGATGACATAAACCAGATCGAAGCTGGTTTTGTGCCACTGCCTTGCTACAATTCTTCTTCAGAGGGTTCGACAAGCCATGCCAGTGACGAAGGAACTAATAAGAAAGGTGGACATTCTGGAAACTACAGCAGTGAATCTAATCATGGAACTAAGGCTTCAAGGGCAGATCAGGAGCGCCGAAAGGGGATTGCTTGGACAGAGGATGAACACAGGTGAATATATTATTGTTGATTTAATTGTTTTCTTTCCCTAATCATAGGTGGCACTTGTGGAAGTATCTAAATGAAGCTAAAGATTTGTTATTCTTTCCAGTCCACGTCTTTTTTATTTTTATAATTAATAGTAGAATTACTTTTGAGATAACTTACTTAATTTTTACAAGGAGTTTCATCCCTGGTGCAACTTTATGATCTTAAGTGTGTTTGTCCAACAATTTTTTCTGAAGTTGCTTTATGGTGATGATAGTTGGTAAACTGTATTGAAGAACTTCCATATCAAAATTATTCCATTTTTGTTATTTCTACTAAATCCATGGCATGTTTCAATAATACAGTATTACTCTTCAAGCTCATATCCAGTAGGGTATAACTGTTGTACTATAATCTTGAAGGATAATAGCATAAGTGAAGAAAAATGGTTTTGTCTTATTTAAATGCATGTCTATCATGGCAGTTGACTCTGCCTTCTTGTACTTTTTTACATTGATGCATTATGTGGTTTGGTTTCATTAGAGTTTTTCTGTCATTTTGTATGACAGACTTAATGTTTTATAGATATATTTATCTCCAGGGTTACCATTATAGACTTATAGTTAAATCTCGAAACATGAAAATTTACATAAGAAAAAGTATTGTAAATAATTTCGGCTTATCCAAAACAGGATTTGGTATGGCACAACCTTTAGGATAGGTTGTCTGAAATGAGAAACCGTTAGTTTATATGCATGTAGGTTCCTTTGATCTGAACTTTTCTTTGGGATTTGGTGACTACTGATGGATCACCTGTATCCTAATATAATGATTTTGGTGTATGCCTTGCCTCAGCTATTGGCATGTTGCACTACTACATGGGGTTGGGCTAAATATTTAGAAACTAATGGTTCTCAACTTGGCACTGGCATGAAGTGACTGGGAACTGCCGCACCTGCTTGACTCAAATTGTGATTGGCTGGTAATTATTTTAGCAGAAATATGTGATCCGTAGATTTAGATCTGAACAGTAATTGTGTTCATCAGAAAATGGTATACTTATGGAAGTATAGAAATAAGGTGTGAAATGTAGTTATAATTTGCCTATTTCTGGTCGGCTTTAGGGTGGGAACTTGTCTTTTTGTACTCCTTTCCTTTTCTTCTCCTGTTTACAAGTTGTGTCCTATATAAGTAAGAAATTATATAGGCTAAACTTGGAACTTGAGGATTTGCTCTTCCTCAGAATTGGATATATTTCCATACTAGAAAATCATCATAAGTCAGTGAGCGCATGATATATTAGTTTTAGTACTTTTCTGATCTAGTGTTTTGATTGCCCTCTCCTTTCTTAACAGTTCTTTTGCTAGTGCATGTTTCTTTCCTCCCCACTACCAAAAAAATGTTTCTTTAGGCTAGGCTGTGTTGTCCAAAATGTGAGGTTTTTAAGAAATAATGAAAAATCCATATCCAAGTCTGTTCAGAGTCTTTTCATATAAATCAGCTGATCCTGTTCACAGACTTGTGCCCTGATCTGATCCTAGGACATATGTAAGCCGTATGTGGTATGATTCAAGTTCTTGTTATCCAGACTGCCATTTTTTCTCTTTTTAAATGAAAATTCAAACAGTTGTGCTTGACTTGTATATATCAATAAATTTCTGTTTATTAATAATGCTTGATAAATTTTCTTTCTTCAGTTTTTAAGTAGGCATTTTGGTAGTGTTCATCTTTTGTTGTCACCTGGGTTCTTATTATAGGGTAAAAATTGAAAGTTTATGTTTCTGGTGAGGGCGTTGACCCCTCCTGTGAATCTCCAACATAGGAAATCTCAAGCTTTTCCAAACCCCCAAAACCAAATTGTCCTGATCGTGTTCCATTTCTTTTATATGGTTCCAAGTTGGCCAAGTGTGAAACTTTGGCGACTGTTAACTTCACTGGCTTATCTAATGGAATGTGGTCCTTTTGCCACAACTTCCTCCACACATCCTGGACACTGCCATCTTAGACCAACCTTGCAATGTTTTCTGACTCTTTGCTTCTGAGAGATTTTTGAAAAATAATGACCATTGCCGGTGCAGTCAAAGTGTCAGTTTTCTTGATCGTTTAATAGCCGCATTAAGCTTCACACTATTTTTTCAGCTATGCCTTCAGAGCTGATCTTATTCGTGCACCCTAACTTACATGAACAATTTCGGATTTCTTTCTCAACTCTGGAGCCAAAAATGAAATGTGGATATTGATTATGAAACTTTGTATTAAAGTTTGAACTTGCAGAGGTCAATGTTGACCTTTTACAGTTGTTGCAGTTATTGTTCATTAAGCCTGTTCTAAATACAAACTTAATTGAAAAAAGTGAAAATTTGTTGCCTGCATAGATGATTTCTGAAATAGACTGAAGTAGTATTATGTGCAAAATATATTCATGACTTGCAAGAGATATATTTCTGTTGTAATTTACAGTTTGGGAGTTACAGTCATATTAACTGTGGTTAAAAATCTTATACTCTTTTAAGAAGGATGGTTGCAATGTTTAATGATATCAAACACATATTGTGTCCTATGAGAAACATCCATTGTGATGGTATTTTTTTGGTTGTGAGTTCTCTGTTGTACTTGAGAACAAGTTCTTATGTTTTATTTTTCCTGTTCTTGTACCACGACAGGCTATTTCTTCTTGGTTTGGAGAAATATGGGAAAGGTGACTGGCGAAGCATATCTCGGAATTTTGTGGTAACAAGAACTCCTACGCAAGTGGCAAGCCACGCACAAAAGTACTTCATACGTTTGAATTCAATGAACAAGGACAGAAGGAGATCAAGCATTCATGATATCACCAGTGTCAACAATGGAGACATTTCGTCACCTCAAGGGCCAATAACAGGTCAAGCAAATGGTTCTGCAGTTGGTTCTTCTGGCAAGTCAACCAAACAATCTCCTGCTGGGCCTCCAGGGTCAGGGGTTGGCATGTACGGTGCACCAACTATAGGACAACCGATTGGAGGACCCCTTGTACCTGCAGTTGGCACACCTGTGAATCTCCCTGCAGGGCCTCCACACATGGCATATGGTCTGAGAGCCCCAGTACCTGGAGGAGTTGTTCCGGGGGCACCAATGAACATGGTTCCCATGACATATCCAATGCCTCACACTTCGCATAGGTAATGTGATATTTGGCAGTAGCAGCAGCAGCTTCAGAATGTAGTGTACAAAGAACAGAGACCAGCAACCTTGTAGCTTGTGCCCGATGTTGGGTTTTTAGGATCATTTTGCTCTGAGCCTGAATGTTTTAGGTATTAGCAAAGCACAAGTTGTTGAATGCTTTACCATTACTAGTCTATTCTTGTACGAAATAAGCCATTTCTATATGGGGGAAGAATTACATGAATGTGTATAGGCAGCAATTGGGAAAAAGATGGCGATATTTATTGGCAGGTAGAAGTCCTAGTATTTGTTTTGTCTTTGATGGAAATCGTTAGAGCATTGAAAGGCAGTGAAGTGCTGAAGAGCTGTTGTAAGGCAAAACTTGTGTAGGGACGCTTTGACATTTGAAGTATTATTTTGGGTAGCAATAGCACATCGTTAACATTGATGTATTGTAGAATTTGTGTCATAAATCCAGGATTCTTTGACTGCCATGCCATCTTTAACAAAAGGCTTTAAGTTTTCACAGGATAGTAAAAATATCGCATGTGAAGTGGCTGCGTCCCCCATCTTCCCTGATTGGTGTTCTCTTAAGTGACGGCCTCCATCTGTTTGATTGATCTAGGTTTGTTTTTAATTTAATTTAATTTGTTTTTTTCAGTTGAAAGACAGAAGCTGTACTGGGGTAGGGAATTTGAACACAATATCACTTAGCCTACAAGGAAGCTCCTTGTTCATTGATTTAGTTTAGTTTTTTGTTTTGGTGGAGTGTTTGTGTGGGTTGATGATCTTGTTTTGGTCATTGCCAGGGTTTAGGGCATTTTTTTGTGTTGTTTTTTGAATTGGCAATTTGTGGCCTTCCTGTGTTCGTTCGTTTATTGCCTTTCGGCTTTATAAAGTGGTTAATCGAGTTAAGCAAAACTAAAGGTTGTTCATTTCGTATGAACATTTGACTTGGCGGCAATGTCTGCAACAGCAGCAGCTGGAGCAACACCACACCCCTCTTCCTTCCCTCGCTTATTCTCAAATTCAATCATAAAATCAAGGCACTCCATCTCTGTCACCCGTAATTCAATAAACCCAAGCTACCCAAATACCCCCAGTCCCACTTGGACCGCCTCTGAGATCGCCGATGCTGTCAATGGCAGGATTGTGAAATGGGGTCCTCCTGGAACCGTTTCTACAGACACCAGAACCCTTCAGCCCAACCAATGGTTCTTCGCCATTGCCGGTCTAAACTTCGACGCCCACGATTTCATAACCCCGGAATTATCCCGTAATAAAGGCTGTGCCGGAGTTATCGGCAACCGGGTTTGCGAAAATTGGGACAAGGGCTTCGTTCAATTCGATGGCAATACTGTAATTTCATTGATGAAGATGGCAAGTTATGCGAGGAATAGGTTCCATGGAGAAGTGGTGGGAGTGACTGGGAGTGTGGGAAAGACCAGCACAAAATGCATGATAGCTTTGGCTCTTCAAATTCAAAGTTCAAGAGGTTTGGTTCCTCATGTTCATCAAAGTCGTGGGAATTGGAATAGTGAAATTGGGGTGGCTCTGTCGCTAATTGGGGTTCCTGCAGGAACTGGGATTGTGGTTTTGGAGATGGGAATGAGTGGGAAGGGGGAGATATTAGAGCTTGCGAGGATGGCTCGGCCCACTATCAGGGTCATTTTAAATGTGGGCGCTTCCCATTTTCAAAATTTCTCCAGTTTAGAGGAGATAGGCATGGCCAAGGGGGAGATTTTGGCCGAAGCGAAGCCCGGGGATGTTTGTGTTTTGAATGCTGATGATCCACTTGTTATGAGCCTCCCTGTACCACTTGGTGTCAAAAAGGTGACCTATTAATATTATTATCCTCTTCTTCTTCTTCTTTTTTTCTTTTTTTTCTGTGTGCCATTACTAAATTTGGTTTGTTTGTTGTTTCTTGCCATAAGCAGGTGCTCTTTGGTCAGAGAGTGGGGTGTGATGTTCGGTTGGTCGCGTCAGAAAGCACGGACGGAGGTCGTGGAGTTAGAGTTGTCTTACAGAATCATCAAGAGATGTAAGCCCCTCATAAACATTTCTCATCTGATCTGAAATAGATAACATTGTGAAATCTTCAGTGTACCTTGTTTATACCATGAAATATGATGATTCTTTCTTGTTTACATAAATTTTATTGAAAATATGGGACAAAGAGCTTTCTAGATCATCACAACCTGTCAGATATTTCATTGCATATCCATTGCTTTTTGGTCGAGTCACGTCGCTGCTGTTTCATCAAGACATGCATTGAGTGCTCTCCTGCTCACACGTATCATTGAAATGGTGGTTTCCTTTTGCAGGGTAGAATTCGTGATAGCTAGTCCTGGTCTGCATTTGGCTCTCAATGCATGTGCAGCAGCAGCAGTTGCGACCCTTTTGGGAGTCTCTCTTTCTGAAATAGGAAATCGCTTGTCAGCATTTTCTCCTGTTCACATGAGGTCGGAGCTTGAAGTTGGTAGAAATGGAATCAAAATAGTGAATGATGCTTACAATGCCAATCCTGTGAGCACCAAGGCCGCCATTGACTTACTAGAGAGTATTGATATTGATTGCGGAGGCAAAAGAATTGTCGTGCTTGGCGACATGTTAGAACTTGGTGCAATTGAGTTGGAGTCTCACAAGATGATTCTGAAGCGCTGCTGTTGTAGTGCTCATATTGATTTAGTTGGGCTTGTTGGGAGGAGGTTTTGTGCAGCTGCTAAGAATCTCAACTTGCTTGAAGACAGAAATATTGTGTATGCTCTTGACTCGGAAACTTTTGTACAAGAAATTGTGAAGAGGGTTAGTTATAATGATGTTGTTTTGGTAAAGGGTAGTCGAGCAATGCAAATGGAGAAAGTTGTAAATGCAATTAAAGCAATGGAATGTTGATGATTGATTGTCCAGTCCAGTCCAGTCCATACCAAAGGAATGTTGATTTGCTCATTACTGAAAGGCAGGATGCAAGCACCTATACATGGTAATTATTTCATTGTTGCGGCAGGTCAGATCAGATCCCTTCAAAAAATTTCTTATGTTTCCTATTTCAATTTTCATGGATGATTTGGTGACGGATGTTGTGGTGTCAGCAGGAGGACCTCGTCGTCGATCGGGGCTTATATACTTGTCTAAACTTTAAAAGCTCCATTCCCTGTACTAGGAATCCTAAATTATTGTTGGATATAATGTAATTGGCAAACCCTTCAGTCATTCAAAACATCAAAGTAGAAAGTTTTATAAATAAACAACATAAAAGTTGTACGTTCACTGGATATATTTTTGGTGTTTCCGACAACTTGGTGCTGTTGTGAACATCATAATTTCTCTAGTTTATAATGTCTTGATTGGATCATCAATGCAATTGTCAACTTTGAAGCTTAAAAACGTCATAAGATGATGTAGAAAAGTTGAAATAAGATGTTGCACTACTAGTAATAATTGAAAGCACGAGGCCTGGTTATTGGTTTGGTTTGGTTTGGTTTATAAAGCTAGAAAATAGCATGAAAATGCATGTGGGTGGGGAATGGGAGCTGATGCGTCTTTGACGTGTGTTCCCCTTTTTCTCCCAAACACAAAAGTTGGAGTATCCAATTATCTACCCCACACTTTTTGCTTGCTTTTGCCTTGCTTTGCTATGCTTAGGATGAATGGATGGGGATCTTGGATTTTGGAAACAAAGGTGAAGATCGTATATTTATCTCTCTCTCTCTCTACTTTTCCTCCTAGCCAGCCTTGTTTTCTTTCTTTCTTCTTTTCCTGGGAAGGGAAGGGAACCAATCACATACACCTGACCTGAGATTGAAATTTGAAATATTAAAAAAAGGTGGCTTTTGAGATGATAAAAAGGAAGGAATTAATGCCAAATGGACGATGACTCTAGTCCAGATAAGCATACACGCACTTGCCCTGTCAAAGATGTGATGTGACTAGGCTAAGGCTAAGGCTAAGGCTAAGGCTAAGCCTTTGTCTTTTGACCAATTAACACGCTTCACTGGAATGGAATGGGATGGGATATGTGGTGGATGGATGGTGGCCCTCCTCCTTGTCCAACTGCCGCCACCTTTTCTTGCAACTGCAATTTCTGTGAATCAAAGTCTTCCCCCAAAAGAAAGAAAAAAAAAGCTGTCAGCTTCTCTTAAAATGTTAGCAGCACATTGCATTCCCATTCCCTTGGAAGTTGGAGGTTGGTTGATGGACAAAAGCTCACTCACACTTGCAGGAGGCAATTGGTTTTGATGTACTAGTAATCTCAGATAGCTATTAGCTAAGCTAAGCTAAGCTGATACAAGTCTCCAACATCATCATCGCTATATATGTACATCTAAATCTCATCTGTCTTAATGCCTTGGCCTTAATTAGCATGTGATTTGGCTCATGTCACAAATACTGAAATCTCTTTTCCCTTTGCTTTTTCCCTTCCTCTTATCTTATTAGAGGGCGCGGTCGTGGTGGCATCACAAAGCTAAATGGCCAGCTCAAAAGGTTTCAACGACACATCCTCATACACTACTACAGTTAGACTAAGAGAGAGAGAGAGAGAGATAGATAGATAGATAGATAGATAATACGCAATTAACGAATGCTGATGCTTGACTTGTTCATTTCTTCTGTGATTGAAAAGCCTTCCCAACCCAACTAATCAGGACAGGATACTGTTTCTGCTACGTACTTTCTTTTTCATTTCTTTCTGTTTTTTGTAATCCTTGGGGTTGGGTCGGCCGATTTGCAATGCCTTGGCAAATATAGCAAACTGCCCTAAACCCTTAAAGCAACCAAGGCAAAGATGCCATCTTTCCCATTATCTTTGTTAAAATATTATCTTTAAGAGTCTGCCTGTGCCTTTATTCTCAATTGATGAGCCATACATGACTCATGCAACATAAAGTTGAAGATTCACCAACTATTTTCATCCCTTTAAATACATATATTCAAATCTATCTACATATGCAAGCATACAAACCTCAGTGCTAAGCATCACACACTTCCTTTGTTTTCTGATACTGCATATACCTAACCTAGCTACCCTGCTCGCTCATCACAAAGTCAAGTTATTCTAGCTACAACTGAATTAATTCATTTTGCTACTTGCTCATCAAATATGAAAGCTTCACTTCAAGTTCAAGTTCAAGGACAAGTTATTGGAATTCCAATCAACTCAGCAGCATACGCCTTTGGGAGCTCGCCAAAGAGACTTCTGCCTGATCCTGCTATTCAATATCCTGAAACTGGGCCTTCAAAACTGAGACCAAGTAAATTCTTTTTCGTGGTTTTTTACCCCTTAAATCCATTCATTGGATTGTGTAATTCATTAACTAATGATATATTCCATATATTGCCCATCGCAGCTGGTAGAGTTAACTCAGTGCTGAAGAGAATGAACAAGCTTGGGAAGAAGGCAGACAGTTTCGCACATGGAGTCAAAGAGCATGGTAAGGGTGCATCATATTCAAGTTCTTAGTACTTTTCTTGCTATATAATTAATATATCCTAATGTGTTAAATGGGAAAGAGAAATAATATTGGTTAAAAAAAATGAATGCAGTGAGACTGGGGCCCAAGATCACAGAGACAGTGAAGGGGAAGTTGAGCCTGGGGGCTAAAATTATTCAAGTAGGTGGGTTGGAGAAGGTGTTCAAAAATGTATTTAGTGTTAGAGCTGGAGAGAAGCTGTTGAAGGCTTCTCAGTGTTATTTATCAACCACAGCAGGTCCTATAGCAGGCCTCCTCTTCATCTCCACAGACAAGATAGCCTTTTGCAGTGAGAGATCAATCAAACTCTCATCACCAAATGGAGAACTGATTAGAGTCCACTACAAGGTAATTCCTTTTAATTCACAAATTAAGGACAATTTAAATGTCTCTCTCTTTCCCACTTTCTCTGTCTGTACATGTGTGTTAGAACTTACCTCCTCCTAGGCTTCTATTCTATATGTTTCTGTCTAACATGCCTAGTTATTTATTTGTATCTTTTGCAGGTTGTGATCCCAGTGAATAAGATAAAGAGAGTAAACCAAAGTGAGAATGTGAAGAAGCCATCACAGAAGTACATAGAAATAGTTACTGTGGATAATTTTGACTTCTGGTTTATGGGTTTCTTGAACTACCAGAAAACTTTGAAATATCTCGAGGAGGCAATTTCTCAAGCTTAGAGAAAATGCAATTGATGTGTGCTAAAAAGCAGAGTCATTTGTTTCCCTCTGCTTCATCAGATATTGTAATTATCATGCAAAGCTAGATAAAAGAGAGCAAGCTCAATACCATTACGGACAATGTATAAAAAAATTTCTTTTCTTTTAATGAGAAAATACTATTTTCTTTGAAAATCACGGCTATTCATATTTGATATTATTTCATACAGAAAAAATCAGTTTCTCCTCTTTAGTATTGAACAGTTCCTTAAATTCCTCTTTAAATTTTGTTATTGTTTTGTTAAATTCTTCTTTATATAAAATTCCATGCAAATGCTGTGCTGAGCTAGGATGTGAATTCATAATTCATTTGGAAATGTGCCTACTCACTTGCATCTCCAACTGAATATGAAAAGATTCACAAATTAAATCAATACAATGAAACTGTATGCGTTCAATTTCTTGCAGTATTGTATAATTTATAGATCACAGAAACACAGAGAGACAGAGAGAGAGACATGCTTTAACTTGTCACCAACACCAGCGCCTTCCTCCCCTATAGGACTCAGACTGACTAATCATTGCAATAACTTATTCATAATACGATTTTTAAGTTCATCCAAATGGGGTCAAATATTGACCATAAACGTTACTTTCAAGCCAAGTTTCAAAAATGGATCCATTTTTCTGATATATTATAATTACATCAATTTTCCATCATCCATTTTTGAATATTCTTTAAGAAAATCCCTAAAATGAACTTTAGAATGCAAGTTAGTTGGTTGGTTGGTTGGAGCCAAACTTTTTGTTGTGCAAATGCTTGCTTTTCCCCCCTTCCATTTCTCTTATTCACCAACTAAAAGAGAGATGACATGGGAAAGCTAAATTGCCAGCTCAAAAAGTTACAAAAGAATATGTTGTGACGTTCCAGATATCGCTTAGCTTAGGAAGGAAGATACAGTTGAAGGGTTTTTCGAGTAGTCAGGGTTTCTTTAATTAACAATCAGGTCTTTTCAAGAACTAAATCCACACTTTCCCCTTCTTTCTTAATAATCTCTGCCAACGAGGTCTAACCTAATGAAAAAAGTGTCTTGACTTGCAGATCAGTCTCAAGTTCAAATCCCCACATCTTTATAGTTGTGTGTGTGTGCGAGAGAAATCCCCATCCTGTTGTTTAGACTATTATTTGTACTAAAAACAAGAGATAAATCTCTGCCAGCCATTGACTGTATAAATTATTATATAATTCCCATAATTTACAATCTGTCTGTGTTCTGTGCATCTTGATAAGAAAGAAAGAATTCTCCACACAGTAATATTATTGTGAGATTCAAATCCAGATAAGATAACAAATTACAACATTAATTATTTCACCCCATCAGATCCCAAAGATGAAAAATGAAAAATAAAAATACAACATTGTTTAGCCCAAAGTACAAAGCAATGGAAGATATTCGAGCAAGTGTGTCCACACCCTGGAAACTAACTCGACGAGGAATCCATTCTTTCAGAACTGAGAGTAACTGAAAAGAATGAATGCCGATTTTAGGAACATATGAAATTGTTGGAAACCCAAACATGAGACTCCCCACTTTGTACATGATAAATTTACAAATGTGTATTCTGAGGGATAAATACACAAGAAGCCAACATTTATCTCACAAATCTTGATCGGCTGAATGCCAGCTCTCAAAGTAACAAATTTCAAGCTTTTGCGAGCAGCACTTGCTTTGAACTCCCCGTCACAAATCTAAATCTTCATCGGCTGAATGCCAACTCTCAAAGTAACACGTCAGGCTCACATAAGCTCCCCGCGAAGTTCACTTTACAACATTCAGAAAACTGCAATCCCGCTTCATCACAACCTGCCTTTGTAATGTGTGGGCATGACCTCACATCCAGGTATTCTAGAGAGTCGCATTTGTCCAAAAGCATGCCTATGCCTGTCACAGTTATTTTTGGGCAGTTGCTGACCTTTAAAACTTTCAAACTCAACTCATTTTCTCCACCATTTAAACCCTGAAAGGCAGCATCTGTCACCTCCTCACAGCACCCAATGTCAAGAGCCTTGAGGTTTCTGCACCGAGCAAGGATGCAGCTCAAAGAAGAGTCAGTGATATTTAAACACCAATCCATCCGCAAGTTCTTGAGATTACTCTTACAAGAAATAGCCAGCAATTTTATTGATGCATCAGATATGTCCCGGCAGCCACCAATTATTAGAGTTTCAAGATTTTTGCAGAATCTGGCCAACGATAAGATAGACTCGTCCCCGATTTTGTAGCAATCCAACAACTTCAGTGTCTTCAGAGAAGATGAGCATGCCATGGAAACACTGGAAACTCCAATATCTCCAATATTACTGCATTTGTTGACATCTAAAAATTTGATCTGTTGACATCCACTTACAAGATCAGTAAGTCCAGAGTCAGTTATGTTGGTGCAACCTTGGAGCCCCAACTCTTCTAAATAGTGACAATTCTTTGAAAGGGCTCGCAATAATCCATCAGTAACAAATCTGCAGGCAGCAAGATAAAGGCTCCGAAGGTCAGAGCAGCCCTCGGCAACAGCTGATAATCCTTTGTCTGTTAACTTTCTGCAATAAGATACATCCAGGGACTCTAGTGATGAAAGACCAGATCCAATGAAAAGGACACCGGAATCTGAAATTCCTGTAAAAGAAAGAAATAGACAATACATTAATCAGGTACAAATGTTAAATACAAAAGACAACGAGCGTACAAGTTTCAAAAATAAAGAACCATTTCTTTCTTTCTTGAACGTAAAATGAAATAAAAAGTCATCAAGTAAATAAGTTCAAAAGAATTGTTATAATCCAATGTCAAAGGACATCTCAAATTATGGCATTATAGCTACACATTCAAGAATACTGCACAAGTGACAGGAACCTCATCTCCTCTCAAAGCCAAATCATGAACAGAAAAATTAATTTTCAGCAAAAATAAAAAATAAAATTGGAGAATCTCATAAAAAGCCCCAATTCAATTTGTAACAAATAGTCAACTAGCACAAACCCATCAAACAATCTCAAAGAACCATCATAATTTTGCAAAATCTCTCACAATGATCAAAAACAGATATCCAATATGTAAAAAAGAATATATTTTCATCAGAAACAGTGAAGTACGTTTTTCCCAATCAATAAAAACAAACAAAAACCCATGAAACAAACCGAAGATTGCTCCATACATGAAGCACGTCCCATGTCCCAACACCACACTCCAAAAAGAATACCTTTGCAATTCTGCAAATTAAGGACTCTCAAGCACTTAAATCCATGAGCAATAACACGGAGATCAGAGTCATTGACACCAGGATAGAAGGACCTCGAAATGGACTGGGAGAGGTCCAGTTCATGAAGCCTGGAGAACCTGTCAGCCATTCTGCGAAGCATATGAGGCCCAGCACGTGCCGAAAGCCTCTTCCTCTCCGTGCTCTGCAAATGAAGCCACCTCTTGCAGACCAACCCGAAGGACTCCTTGTCCCTCTGGCTCTCCAGCTTTGCTAGCACCGACCGGAGCTCATCATCCGTCAATGCCTCGTTTATGCATACCATTATTGAGGAGGAATCGGCTGAAGAAGCCATAGATGGAGGAAATTGGTGGTTGCATAACAGAAACAGAAACCGTAACCCTAACCCCAATCGTGATTAGAGATCTGGGGCTCAATTAGGATTAGGGTTTAGGAAGGAATTGGGGGACGGGGAGTGTTGATTGGTTGAAAACGTCCTTTTGAGTCTATCCAGTTGGGTTGGGTGGTAGGTGGAAATAATGAAAAGCGGGTGAGGGTGTCAATATCATTGTCTTCCTTGTCTATCTTTTGGTGGTTGTGTTAATAATTTGCATTTTTGTAAATAAAATAATAATAATAATGATACTTCAAATTCAAAATATGGAAGCAGAGGAAATATTCCATTACCAACCTTAAGACATGATTACAAGAGTCATCGAGCTTACATTTTAAATACCAACAACAACAATAACATTGTTTTGTTTGTTGGGAGTAATATTATTCCGTGTCATTTGTCATATTACTTGCTATTAAAGGGCTTTTCACAAATAGGCTCATATTCTAACCTGACATATTATACAAAAATCTTTATCGGAAAGAATGAGTTGAGTTTTTTTTTTACGTAAGTCGTCATCATATATTCGTATATTAATATATTCGGTTAGTGGTTCAAGTTGCCAAGCAGTAGTTACCAATTTTCAATAAGATAATACGAAATTAAACTCTAAAGCTGCCGCGCCTCCAATAATTTGAATTGTATTCCTAATCATCACCTTGAGTCCATCGATGCCAAATGGCTTTAACAACTGTATTTTGTATTCAATGAGAATAAGCTGTTTGTATATTTGCCTGTTTGTAACATGTGAACCCAAATTGAGGGCTAATCCTCCTGTGGCATTCAACAACCTACCTTCCCTACACCAATGAACTAATTCAGATGCTGCACCAATTTACAGCATACGAAGAAGAAAAAGAATTAGAGTCACGGTTCGTGACTCAAGAGTTTAAGATAAATGAGACTTTTTGCAACAAGTAAGCACACAGTCCTCCAGAAATTGGGTTAGCTCAGAAGTGTACAGTTTCGGGTCGTTTCTGAAATGATCAACATGAGGTGTGGACACAAAGTTGCAAGCCCTAACCTCATGTCCAGCCCTCCGTTGCTGTTTTATGAATGATTCCACCGACCCTGCAGGAATCACCCTGTCTGCAGAGCTGTATATATATAATTGCGGACAGCTTGGTTGTCGGGCTGACAATAACCCCACGACATCAGAAAGCCTCCTGTAATGCAATAATATTCATATTACTTTCCATGAAACGAGGGAAAAGTTCCTTCTTGGAAATACTAAGCATTATAAGTACTCTGACATGCTACATTGGTTTTTCTAAGATAATAAAGAACATCAAGGGAAATGTGAAGCATAGACAGCTGCAGGAAGATTCAAAACCACCTCAAAGAACTTATCCAAAACTAAAAGGACGAAGAAGAAGAAGACAGACTACCTGTTCACTGTAGGAAGATTCAAAATCACTTCAAAGAACTTCTCCAAAACTACTAGCAAAGCTGCTTCAGTTACTGCAGGTTTGGGTGCCACTACTCCCTTGGTGCCAACCAAAGCATCCATCCCTGACTCATTTGAGTCTACGGTTCCTTTTGCTGCTACACTATGCTTTTTCAGAAAGGCTGCTGAGAAACCAGAAGCCCAAACCTACACAAGGTCAAGAATTAGATAGCATACTCATCTAAGAACCAACAAAAGAAAAAACCTGGATCACAGAGAAACTCAAAAAGTAGATAACTTGCATAAAATATTCAAACAGCTATTTGAAAAATGAACACCCCCCCCAAAGGAAGCATGCCACAGAGATTATAATGTCCTGCTCCCTCCAACTCATCCAGTCCCCACAGAGAGAAAAAGAGAGGGAGAGAGAGATTACAGAGAGTGCAAGGCATGACAACAAATGAAGGACAGTAACTGGAATGAAAAAAAAAAAAAGGATCAACAGGCATTGGAGTTTTAAGACTAATTGCTAAGCACAAGGAATACTCAACAGACAACTTTCTTTTACTATTCTTACAACATTTAGGCTTGGCGGTAGTGAAAATGTCCGCTGCTACAATTATATTAAGCCAATTACAATATTGTTATTGGTCAAATCAATATTCTTTAAATGACAGCAAAAGGCTATCTCTGGTACCAGAGTATGCGTGGATAATTTTAATCCTTTAACTAATATCAGTTGACAATTTCTGCTTTACTGCAACTATCCTTTACCTGTGGGTCAGGTGCTGCAACAGGTGCAGAATCCACAACGCAACCCCGAATCCTGCCCATTAGAGAAGGATCGTGCTTCTGGAACTGCTCCAACATTACCCCATACCTGTAACATTAAACGAAACCAACAAACAGTGTAAGATGGTTACATAAGAGAATGGGGAAATTGCATATGGAGTGTATGTATAAGAGAGATAGAGAGAGGGGACGAAGTGGAACTCACGTTAACCATCCAGTATTGCTAAAAGTATGAAAAACCAGATTCTTTCCATGCTCCTCCTCTAACCAATCAGCCAAATGTCTCACAAGGGAGTTGATGTGCTCTTCAACTTTCCCACCAGGTTGGTATTTGAGAATCTCAGACATCGGCAAAGTAAAGGTAATTACATGAAAACCCCTTGAGGTATACCACTCAGCATACTTCTTGAGATGTTTTTGCTTTGCTCCCAACCATCCTAGTAAAACCACCACAGTCCTGAACTTTGCCGAGGAGCAACCAGAAGTACCGGAAACATCTATGGCATTTGGCTCAGGTAAATGCCATCTGTACGTGACTTCAGAGGGGGAAGTGGATATATCATGCTTATATGTAGTTGGGTTTGTTGTTTTAACCAAGTCTGCAGACTGATACAAATTAAGAAGAACAGGTGAAGATGCAACCGAAGAATATAGCAACTTGGGAACAAATTTGCCGCCTGAATTGGGAGTTGGGAAGTTAATATTGGGCACAGGTACTCGAATTCTAGATATAAAGGACAAGTTTGCAAGCTTAGAAACCGAAATGTGTGAAACCCAGGATAGCTTTGAATCTTGAAAGGTGTTATGCAATGAAGAATGTGATAAATCCGAGGTAGAACAATCGTCAGTGGATCTGTGAGATGGCAATTTATCAGAGATGTCAGTAGAAACTGAAGCTACAGCAAGAGCAGCAGCCGCAACCAAAGGTCGTTGAACGATCCCAGACAAGGAAGCCATATTGGAAAAGCAGCCCAAAATCTCTCATGCCAATATCAAGCAACGCCCACACAACAACATATAATAAGCCGAGCCACCAAATTTGTTGAAGACCCAGAAAGCCAGATATTTCAAACACGAGAATAACCTGCAGAAATTAATGGGAAAATGACGATAACCCACCAAACACCTACAAATATAACGCAACTCGAATATATATATATATATATATATATATATATATATATATATATATATATATATATATATATATATATATATATATATATATATATATATATATATATATATATATATATATATATATATATATATATATATATATATATATATATATATATATATATATATATATATATATATATATATATATATATATATATATATATATATATATATATATATATATATATATATATATATATATATATATATATATATATATATATATATATATATATATATATATATATATATATATATATATATATATATATATATATATATATATATATATATATATATATATATATATATATATATATATATATATATATATATATATAAAAGCTAAAGATAGTGATTGGGTTTCACGGGACATTGAAAGGCAAATAGCTGCTTACGTTAGCGTTCCGGCAATCTAGGAACGAAAGCTCATTGGCAGAAGAGAAACGGGGCTTGCTGAAATGACCGTTTTATCCCCATGAGAATGATGAGATGAGGTTAACGTTTGTATGGGTAAACTGATGTAAATTTCAGAGACAAAGGAAAGAATACGACATTTCCAGAAAGACAAAATCCGAAAATAGTAATGAAGTTGAGAGCAGAGGCTGATGGCGGAGGAAGAAGAGGGGCTCACCTCAATCAAGTCTGGTGTGCCTGTTTTACTTCAATAAAGTTTAAGAAAATAGAAAGAAGAAAAGAAGGACAAAGGAACACATAGCACGATATTGAATATTTCTAAAAGGATATTCCCCAAGAAGATTCCTTGAGGAAGCAACAGTCAGATAATGTTGTTGGTAGAGAGGAGGCCCATAATCAGCAGCACAGCAGCACCACTGCACTGGACATGTAGTAAATGAAAACTCCACGTTTTCCAATTTCAGCCAAGCAAGCACCATGGATCATGAATGACGCAGCACAACAGAACCAAACAACTTTTAAAGAAAAGAAAAGAAAATGTGGAAAAAATGAATTAAACATACTCAAGATTGAGAATCACCAAATTCAATACGTAAGCGGCTCAGGTCCTGTGTACCAACTACATTACATGATGCACCTACCTCATCCATTTCTATATGGACAAATTCCCTGTCAATAACTACACTACATGATACTAGCTCATCATCTTCACCTACAAAAACATAACACTTCTCATATAGACCCTCCTTTGGACCTAGATTTAACAAACAAGACTTTGGAACTGACAATTTGTTTTTGCCGCAACGAAATCCTTCCTGCTCCTTTCCCATCAATATCAGACGATGTTGGCGACCCAAAAGCTGTGACACATACTTCATATCTCCTACAGCAAGGGCACGGCGAACACGAGTAGAAGAAACCTGTCCTCTGTCTTTCACATCACTCGAGTTTATATTTATAGAGTAATCGTTCTTGTCCATAACAGAATTTATTATATAAGCCCCAATACCATACTCTTCACACAACCTCACCAGCTCTGTGGCATCACCAGCAGCTTTATATCCCAATCGGTAGTTTTCACCTGCCACAATTACCCATTGCAAATCCATTTCAATGTATATCAAGGCTATGCTTCGCTTATACCAAGAAACATAGAATAGTCTGCAATGGATTTCTTCAAATTAATTTACCTGCCACAACTCCACGCACTCCAAGCTCTTTCAATAACTTCTCAACAAATTGTCGTGGTGTTAGATGTCGAACACTAGAAAATTCAATCTGAAACTCTGTGGGTGCCATGTTACCACAGTATGGGGCCCAAGAGGAAAGAACCCGCTTTCGATCGCATTTGGCAACTATGGGAGCCCTGTTCAATTTATTAATAAGAATTTATTAAGACACTTTAACTAAGCTAAAATGAA